TGTTTAATGGTGTACCTCTACTGGTACGGCAAATTATATCTTGTGGTAATGGCCTCCCCTACCTTGAAAAAGGACGATCAGTCACGTGGAAGTACTGGTCGCTATGGGTAAAACGATGTATCCTAGTTAGTAAGAAATATATTTAGAATTTATTACACAGCTTATCAAAAACTTTACCGTTAAAACTTTTGTACTTGAGAATGTTTGCACCAGTGATCGAAACGCCGTACCTGTTCTGAAAACAAATATTACTTACTGTAAAAGCTGTAACTGTAATATAATATTCTAGATTCTAATTCCTGTTTTTGCGGCTCATAGAATGGCTCTGAGTGTTGTTTTTTTCAAGTATAAAATTTTAGCTCATATCTCCGTCTCTTGACCGATTTGAGATATAATTACAGCCGCAGTTATTGAGGATTCTCTCTTGTTACCTCTACGAACACTGAGAGGTATTATAAAAATAATCACATATTAACTCTCTATTGTCTACTAATATTCCCTGTTAGTTTAATCTTGAATCTGTTAGTGTGTGTGATGTAAATTTCTACAAACCTCTCATGCGTACCTCAGTAACCACACTTCAGCCTCCTCCCTCTGTTGTCCTCCCACTTGACGGCGTGTCTGGTTAGAAGTCCTAATAGTACTTAATCTTATTTAACGTTTCGCATATTTAAAAAATCGTCTAACATAGAATCATTTTTCTTCTATATTTTTTTAAGTGTTGTTGTAATGTATATTTTCACGAATCTTATTCTGAGGTATACACATAATTATGAACATATCATTTTATCTAACCATTGAATTACTGATCGGGTTAAATTCCAGTGGCATTATTGGATCCCTAATAACACAAGTGACATGATAAAAGGAAATAAAAATATCACCAGTATTGCAGTGTTATGATATTGATATCATCAGTTTACCCTTTCATAACTAGTGTAGAATATATTTGCATTTATACATATTCAGGCTTTTTTTTTAATTTTCGTGCAGGTGTTCTGCCTGTAGTTAGCATCTTTCTGGTAAACCGGATGTACGAGGGCCTAAGCATACGCTAATCCTCTGCTTTAAGTAAAGATTACTTACTACAATGGTTACGTCGTAGAAGTTTGTACCTGCTTGGCCCGGTTTTTGTGTCTGTCCCGTAAAGTGGAGATAATTCCACTTCATGTGGTGAAACAGAGACTGTACAAGCTAGTATAAGCTGAAGGTTTTCCCATATGTTTATTTGCAAATGACTATCAACACAAGTTACCTAACGATTATGAAATACCTCACTAAAATCCTGTTCTGCAATAGCATTCTCTTCACCCCAGCAGCAATTTACAGTCTTATTTGGAGATGGCCTGTAAAGATATATTGTATTGTACGAATAAAGTTTTTGTTAATTTGTACACCTGTATAACTGCATTTCATTTATTGCCCTTCTTTGAAATATTACTTTGCACATTATTTCTGGAACATGCATTTTGCGGATGCTTAAAGCTTCATATAGGACATCAGTGTTCCTAAATACCACAAAAGTCAATTCCACTGTATAAAATCACTCATTTTCTACATGCTTTACATTGAATAATGAATGATGTCATTTAGGCAAAAACATAAAATGACTGTCATATCTATTTTCATGCGTCATTTTTAGTTTATCTGATTTATTTGTGCATTAAGTATTATATTCATACCATAGTAATTATTATTTCATAATATAAAACGTTTGCTGTATGACACTTCACTATTTTGTGTCATATTCTTTCAAGAACAGTACAAAAACAGAATGTTGCAAAGGGGTATCATAAGGAGCAGAACTAGATTTGGGTGTCTTGTTCAAACTGACATTTTTTTTCTGAGCGAAATTCACAATTAGATGACAAAGAAGTGGTAAATGACACTGTGGTACGCAGGCATACCATGTGTAGTCTAGCTTCTCATTTTAATGTAGAAATGTTAAAAAAAATTGCTTTTCACTTCAGTTTCACATAACACGTTGTCCAGAAAACGTTATGTTTACTTCGTTTTATTTTTCTTTCTTCCTTTGCAAGGGATAATATCTGTTCCGCCCGTATGCGCGTTACTGTAATACTGCACGTTATGTAAGCATGTAGAGGATAGCAGTGTCCTTCACTAGTATGGCAGGTTATATCTTCAGGTAATAGCCTTCCTATCTTGAATGATAATGACCTGTCAACTGGAAGGACTAGTCGCTATGTATCCCTTTTAATAAGCAAAATATTTAAAATTTACTACACAGGATATCAAGGGAGTTGGTTGACGGAAAGATATCTTTAGCGAGGAAAATATGTTCATCAATTCATGAGTCCAGTAGAAGACGAGTGTACAAATGTAAGTATGCACAATGTGTTTTGTGTGTTTGATTTAAATAAATATTATTTTAATTTCATAGCACACGTCGTGTCCAGTCTCTTTATTTAAATTAAAACACAATAAGTTGAGAAATTTAGCCCCACTTAGTAATTTATCCCGGTAATCCTCCAAAAAACAAAACAAGAAAAAAACAACAAAAAACGGACAGACCTAATATTCTTCGAGAATATCAGATTAACCTTTAAATTCTATGACATTAAATATGAAGTACATGGTGTAGATGGTAAATACTTTTTATGCACAATTATACGTGAGGTACGTGACTAGACGATAAAGAAGCGCTAAACACCACTGTATGTGAAGTACAAAAACATTTACCCGGCATGGCCAGGTGGTTAGGACGCTCGACTCGCAATCTGCGGGTTCGCATCCCCATCCCACCAAACACGCTCGCCCTTTCATAACGTGGGGGCGTTATAATGTGACGGTCAATCCCACTATTCGCTGGTAAAAGAGTACCCCAAGAGTTGGCGGTGGGTGGTGATGACTAGCCGCCTTCCCTCTAGTCTTACACTGCTAAATTAGGGACGGCTAGCGAAATTCAAAACAAACAAACAAAAACATTTATAATAGAAAAGTGCTATTGTGTGTGTGTGAAGTACATAACGCCATGCCCTCGAAAGCCTGATTCATGATCCATACTATAGTCAGATATTGCAAGAGAAAGCACAACTATATTTGTATAAATACGTAATCATCAACAAGCTCAAGTCCGGCTTTATGGTCATCATCAGAAATGGTCCAGCGTGGAAAGCAATTATAGACTACTGACATGGACGAATGATAGAAAAAATGTTATGCGCCATTGAATGTGAAGTTTATAAAGAAAACGGCAAACTTCTCCAAATTCTAATGTTTGTGGTATTTATTTTGTTTTGTTTGTTAAATTCTGTTGATTCAATCTTAGATCATTTTTGGTTTTCTTCAAGTTTTACCGATTCTGTAATTTTTTCTTTATCTTCAAATTATACCGATTCTGTCATAATTTTTAGTTTTCTTCAAATTATGCGGATTTTGTTATTTAGTCTATTTTTTTTCAAATTCTGTTGATTCTGACATTTTGTTTTTTCGTATATTGTTCATTCGTGTATTTTCCTAGTTTCTAATTATGCTGATTTTTATTTTATTTTCTTCATATTCTGCTCATTCTGTAATTTCCTTATCTATTCTTTAAATTTTGCCATTTGCCTTATTTTCTTTTCTTCAAATTCTGCTGATTATATCATTATATTTTCTTCAAATTCTGCCGATCCTATAGTTTTGTTTGTTTTTTTCTTCACATTATGCTGACTCTGTTATTTTCTTTTCTTCAAGTGAACAAATATTGTAAAATTGTAAATCGAGAGTTACAGTCATTAGGAACGAATTTTAATGTTATATATTTTCAATTATTCGTAATTAGTTTTAATTGAAACTTCCTCGTGAGTTATAGTTTGAACTTCGAAAGGTGGCGAATAAGTGATAAAAAAATAACGTCATTTCTAAATACCCATCTTTTACGTTCAATTTTGGACAAATAATACTATTTAAACAACGTTCAAACAACGCTTGAAGCAAAATTCGTGTTATACTTCATGTACTTTTTTTACCACTTTCACATTTGAACAAATTAAGAGAAACATGTGAAACAAAAAAACAATAAAACTTCAGTCCAATACAGTTGTTGATGTCGTGTAGAACTATAGATAATGACTTCAAATGGTTACAATACCTTAAAATAACTGTGTAAAAGATCTTTATTCTTATTTTTTTATTTCACAATTTTGCAACTTTATTCTATATTAACCCCAAAAAAAGAGAGAAATTTATATGAGACGTAATGGAAGAATGACCTTTTTTATGATAAAAATATAATATATATATATATATAAACAGTTTTAAACTTTGTGAGTTTCCAAAATTGATACAAACTTGAAACGTTGTTTACTACAGCTAAGAACACGAGTTAATGATAAGAATGTAAATTTAAAGTTATATGAAAACCAGATTTATTCTAATTCAACCTTTTCTTTTGCTGGCTCGAAGGTTGTTATGCTTTGTTCACTTGAGCGTTCTGATACTTATTCAGTAGAAGGGACTTTATGAACATTCATATTCATCTAGCATACTTGATCTTTGTTATTTTGTAAAAATGACGTCACAACTGACCGACTATGCTGAATCCGGTACTTTAGGTCAAACCGCCCTCACTTAAAGCAGGTTATGGCCTTTTTGAAATGATAGTCAATGCAACACCAGTAATTACAGATGTAACTTATTGTCAAACACTGCAGGGAGGAGTCAGGACACAGTGCTCTGATTGAACAGTTAACGCGTGTTGTTTTGCAAATATATGACACAGCCCAGTGGATGTTTTAGGTTTTTCCCCTTATTGTATTTATAATTTATAAACACCCAAACTATAATGCTGTCTATTAATGCCAAGCGCATCAGCTAGGGAAAAGCAAGGCCGTTTCTATAGAAACACTCCCTGAACCAATGAGGAAGCACAATTGAGTCAGCGTACGTCAACTCGAAATTTTATCGTCATGCGGCGTAAAGTTTACAACATTTGAGAGTGACGCTCGTATTAGGGTGGTGTGTAAGAGACAATAGAGTTGAGGCATTGGTGTACGTCCGTAAGAAAGGTGATGTTTGTGTATGGGAACCAGAGCGTTTTACTAAGGTCTGCTTGAAACATCATTCGCATGGTGTTCTATTTTCACGTGGTTTTTTAACTAGTCATTGATCAATAACACGGTTGTCAAGAAACGAACAGAATAATCATTTTTTAGAAGCTGTTTGGTTTTCCACATGCGAGGATGCTAAAGCACGTGCATTTCTCGAGCTCTAGTTTGGTGCCTTATCGTTGTAAGACGCCAACAAGGGACAATGTTAGCCTTAGTTCAGCATTAAGTTTTGGCAGCAGCGTGGGTCCTGAGCTGATGTCTTCTTGGTCATCAAGCACTTCAAGCCTTCAGGAAATGAGCTCTCCAACAGAACCACCCAAGGTACGATGTTAATCGGTTACTAAACAATATACACACCACTTACCGGTTCACTTGAGTGCATGCAACAAAACTCAAAAAATATAATTTATCATGTGTGAGACTAGACGACCAACTTCCATCTTATGTAGTAAATATCTATGTCGCAGCTTTCTGAACTACAGTAACCATATAAAAAAGTTACTGTAGTCAGTGTAGAGAACTGGTGAATATGTACGCTTTTCTTCACTAGAGTAGATGCTATTTTCAATGTGCTTTGTATGTTATTAACGCTAAAAGCTCTTTTATTTAATATACATACCACTACCAGGAGATAGTTTCAAAATTAACAACTTTTTAACGATATTAAAGTTCGGACACGTCTTGAAGGAGGAACAAAGAAAACATTATTATAAGTTTAGGATAATAACAGTGCTTGGACAGCAATTTGTCATCATCAGATACTTATACTAAGTTCTAGAAACGATGTACATTTGTTGCTAGTTGGACTTGGAATAAAGTTATCTATTCAAATTTTCAAGCAGTTTCCGGATTTTATTAATATTAAAAGTTAAAGTAGGTTCCTCGTCATCGAATTTATTAAGATGTTATGTTTGTTTGTGTTTAACTTTAAACGCAAGGCTATATAATGGGCTAGCTGTGCTTTGCCTGCCACTGTATTGAACCTTTAGTTTTATCGTTATAAGCTTAATGCTGAACCACGGAGGAGCAGAGGATTAAGAGGTAGTTGATAAAACTTCTAGTAAGTTAGGCCTAAGAAATAAATTGAGTCATAATTCAAAACGTTCCATTATAATTATATAGGCGATTAACGTTAATTTCCTTTATCTTGCCTTCTTCGGTCACAAATTAATACTTATATCAGTTTACCACACTGATAAAATTCTTTCTAAACCTGTAGTTACGGGATCCTCCTGTTTTCCGGAATTTTATTCCACTGCTAAAGCTGCTCCTAAACCTATAGTTACGAGATCATATTTCATTTTTCTGAATGTTTTGTAATTACTTTATTACAATCCCCACGACAAAATCTTCCTCTAAGTCAGTGGTTCTTAACCTTTTTTTGCTCCATGCCCCACCTCGACACCTCAAAAAATTTGATGTCCCTTAATATAAAAACAAATTTGGTGTTGAAAATTTATAATAATATAATGTAAATTTTTTCTTATTGTAGCATTTTCAAATTGCCCCCTGTGGGGCGTGTGCCCCACGTTCAGAATCACTGCTCTAAGTCTAACCACGAAGTTTGCATAATGACACTATATCTGAGCCCACTCTCTTCCACCGGTCTTCCAGACATTGTACATTGAAGACACGCTATAAAATATACACTTAACATATATATAACGCATGACCATAGTCTTGGGTCTAGTGGATCCACATAGAGTTTATGTGATTAGAAATGGATTCCTTTCGAGGTTAGTAACCGTACAATTCTCAACTTACATAAAGGGTTTCTGATGCTGCATTTGTTCCCACAGAACGTGTATTTGATTTGGTGTTATGAAGAAAACTCATCGTCTTTCGACATGAGAAAATTATTTTATCTCCTTTGGTATGCAAATTAATACGACTACACAACTTTCCAATATTAATCATTACAACTTCATTTTCACCCATGTCGTTGTTAATGTAATAACACCTGGCAGCTAGATCGGTGTTTATGTTTTGCAACCTGGGGGGGTCAGGTGCTATTTAGACCTATTCTTCCCTGTAATGACAGTGAATAAGTGAAAAAGCTGCCCAGAATGAGTTGAATGAATATACGCATGGTGTATTTAAACAGAAAAATCCGTTAGTAATTATATTTGAAACTCTTACTGGATTACTGAGCTTATATTAAAACGTAACAAAACTTTCACCTCGAGAGGGGGGGGGGACTGTTTTAGCTACTACTCTACTTCAGGAGCATTCAGCAAACACCTTTAGTAGCTGAAAAAAAAACTTATTGTTTATCATATTTTTTAGAGATATCATTCGTGTTCTTATTTTAAAATCGGAAAGGATGACTTGGGCAGAAAGCTGTTTGTAGCATATAGTGTGTGTTAACATATACGATACACACCACAAATTCCCTGTGAGTTTGCAAGGTTAGGTAGGCTTAGCTGTTGTTGTAATGTGTAATTAGTACGTCATCACTGGGCGATGAATCTGCGTGATCAATAGGAAGTAACAACACACCTACACGGATACTGTTACTGACACATTTCAATGTCGCGAAAACAAATTATGATCTCCGCGTATACGTAATATGAATTTCTCTTGTTGATCGTTTTGACGTCTTGGTTACAATAGAAACTTAAAACCAATGGTGAGCATATAAGTGTTTATCATTGAGGTATTTAAGAAGAATGTGATACTTGAGCATTTTCAGGAAAATGACGTCATTGATGAAAGTTCGGTTAAGGAAAAAAGTTCAATTACCATGGACTAAAATAACAAAATATATGCAAATGTTGCTCTTACGTTTATATGTCAATATTCCGTGCTTTACATGCAAAAATTGCAGTCATGTGGTTATCAACGAGGAACAATAAGAGTTTTAGCTCTAATAGACTGCTCGTGCCTTTTTCTAGTCAAAACTTTGTCCCACTCTAGAAACAGGTGTTAAAGCTAAAACTCTGCTATGTCTACACTGCCTAAAATACTCTTGAAACAAGAACAAGGAATGGATCTCAGAATCAAATGACTGATAGAGAGTCGGATATGGGTCTCACAATCAAATGACTAACAGAGCAGGAAATGGGTCTTAGAATCCAGTGACTGAAAGGGAATAGGGTATTGGTCGCAGAATCAAGTGACTCACTCTAGGTTCATAGGAAAAGTATATTTAGGAAGAATAAACAGTTCATAAACCCACTTGTCTTGGTATCTCAGACGACGGTAATGTTTGGAAAATGCCTCAATATAAATATTTTAACCAACATAATAATATCGTCAGAGGAAGGTCTATGTCATGTGGACGTACAGTAGGAATTTAGGCTTAGAGATAAATATTTAAGATGACAATGTTTTTGGGTTTTTCATGTAGTTTTAGCATGATGTTTTTTGTTTTTTTTTCACGTAGCCATGCCCAGAACTTGTTTTGTTAGATATCTTTAAGCTATCAAAAAACGTTAGTTCGATTAATAAATGGAATGGAACAATGTAATCATTTACAGAGATAAAGTTGGAAACGTTTCCATACTGATTTTTTTTGTACTGTAGGAATTGATATGATTTTTGTCTTGGCAAATATATAGAGTTGCTCATTTTAATGATTTTTATAAGTTTGCCATGAGTATTCGTAATCTAGAAATTTTGTGTAAGTTTTTTTTTCTACAATATGTAATACTCCTTGAATACTTTTTTGCCTTTGCAAATGGATTATGCAGTATAAATGGATTATGCAGTATTGAAGTTATACAAACGCCCGTCAAATAAAACGATAATAGTTTTTGTTATTATTATTTTCATCATGGACAGAGGAACAACGATTGCATAAACCAAACTAATTTTTATCAGAAATCAAAACCATAAGAAGCGATTTTATTATTCCTGGGAGTGTTAAAAAGTCCTTCAACAATGTCGTGATTTTTTGTTGTAGCAATCATAGTTGGGGAAATTACAGTCTTGCAACGACATTGTGATTGTGTTGTAGCGATCGCATTGTTTCCATTACTGCTGTGACATTTACTGAGTCCTCCAACACTGTTGTGACGTGTTATAGCTTCCTCATAACAATATATATATGTATATTTAAAGATAAAAATATAAATTATTAGTTTAACACTCAACGTTATGTGTCACTGCTGCAATTTAAGATGCTAAATTAGTTTTATGTAATACAGTTCTCTTGTCTTGCAGATTTAAGCAATTTGTTATCTTGTGTATAGATACGAGTTTCCAAATTGACCACCATAGTCGATTTACAACATTTACGAGTACTATGTCTGTTTTTATTATTTAATTTCTATAGTGCATATTGGTGTATAAAATACGTTTTAATACTAGTAACAAACGACTTTATAACACCAAATTTGTTATTTTTCTTTAATTGGACACTCAACGTTTCGCTTTACTGCTTCTTTAGGAGAGTTCCACTAAAACACAAAGCGTTACAGTTTGTTTTAGTGGAACTCTCCTGAAGAAGCTGTAAATTGAAACGTCGAGTGTCGAATTAACGAAAAATTACAAATTTTGTGTTATAAGGTCGTTTATTACTAGTACTAACTCTGTTTGTTTGTCTGTTTTAGGGCAAAGTCACATTGAGCTATCTGTTGTATCGACCGCGGGGAATCGAACCCCGGATTTAAGCATTTTAAGTCCGTAAACATACAGCTGTCCCAACGGGAGACCAATAACTATGATGGAACATATTTACATGTCTTCAAGTACTCATTCTTGAGGAACATTCATGACGTATTATGTTTATTAATTTTTTCTGCCCCTTTCCCTCAAAACTCAAATCAAATATGGAGTCCTAGAACTAACACAACCAATGTGTAACTGCCTATAGGAGATTTAGATCAAAGGTCAAGATCATAGCAAAAGCTGCTATCAACATATTGACCTCCTCTTGTACAGTAATGATTTGGTGTTTATGGAACGCAATTAAATAGCAAGCTACGTTTCAAACAAGTCATTGGAAAGAGCGACTGGAGATACCTAGACTTGTCAACGATGTGTTAGCCGAGTGAAGTATAAGGCATGCCGTTTCTCACGCCTGTATCGCGCTACTGACAGCCCCGTGAGCTAAATCGAAGTTTCACGTTGGAGCATGCGCAAATACTTTCAGAATATTGTGCAGCACTACGAATCTCACAGTAAAACTTTTAATTGTTTAAACTGCTAAAAAATTAACGTCTTGTTCACATTATAATATTCCTGATAATAAATTCTATTATTTTACTGGAACAGTTTAAAAACATGATGCATTCCTTAAAAATACAAGACAGAATTAGTTTATTATAAGTCAGTCGAAGCCATTAATACAGCATTTATTGTGCAGATCAATACATAGA